ACATGGTGGCAAACGTACACTACATGTAGTAGAGAGTACCTGCCCTCTCCATTGACAGATTTCAAACCGTGGCTGAAACGGGAATATTCGAAGCAAAAAAGTTTCGAAAACTTTCAAAATTTTGCTAAAAATATTTATTTTCGAACTAATCTACAGCTCATAGATACCTTTTTTAATGTTGTAAATAGTTAAAATTAGAAATCGTCAATCGAATGGGAGTCTCCTAGCAGCCACCTCCCCTCCTCTTCCCTCTACATTGTGATTCTATGGGAGCAGAGCAAAAATCTGACCATATGTGATTGTTCACACTTGTCCCATACATACATAATAATACGGTCGATTAACAGCTACCAATGACCTCAGCGAATCCACTTAGGACCCGTCAATGTCGATTGTCACACGCCATACATAATCGCTTGTACCGTATGTACATAAGGGCGCTTGACACCGCGCTGGTAGCTACTTGTCTCTAAGCATTCATTAAGCTTGACCGTATTTTTGACCCGAACCCATTCAGAATCGCTTCGCAATTGTTCTAAGCAGTAGGGGGTATTCCATATAGCATCAATACCAGTATGATATTTGATATTATTAAGTATTCCTGATCATAATATTACATATCATATCGAATCCACACAGATAACCTAATAAAGACATTATCATAATTAAATATTTAATGTTTTCCGGGTAGGACATCGAAACTCGAAAAAGTTATTATTTTCCGGGGGTAACTCTACACTGGTAATCATAACGTTGCATAATAGTGACCGCCCCCTTGTGAGACGATAGGATTAATCTCACCAATAAGAACAAAAGCGATTCGTAAGTAATTAAGTAAATGAGCAGAGTTAAGATGGTAGTAGGTAATACAATATAATACTCACCATGATAAAGATAAAAAATAATGTCTTTCGAGTCATTCCCACTTTCGAGAAGCGCCGCGTTCGACATCCACTCGAGATTGCAGTGATGTTTTCAATGCGTAGTGGCTTATACAATAACTTGCGATGGCGAACCATAGTACTACTCAGTGCTTCTATTCTCCCAGACGAGCCTGATACCAATTGACTGGCCCCAGAAGAATGGAAGACTAGGTTGGTCGGGGCGGATGTCGAGCGGGGAANCGAACCCGTGACCATACCTGCGTGATAATGCGACACTTCCTGCTACACGACCTTCGCCCTCGCTAAAATATCTATTCAGTGCATACCGTACATTAATACAATAACGGCACTGGAGAATACCAACGTTTTCTTAGATTTGAGTGTTTAATGCAGTTCATATACAGTATCTCATTGATACTGCATTGATATTGATTAATGTATTGAGTTAGTACCGTAACTTTACGATGAATTGAAAGTAAGAAATAGTAATGAAAGGGGAAATGCAGCCATCGTCTTCTTAATGGTTTATATCCCGTAGCTTTCAGTACAAGTACGGGTTCGGGTCCCGTCCGAGGCCAACGTTTTGTCCATAACTTCGAAAAATGCAGGTTTTTTCCATGGCTGGTATAGGAATCAACCAACCCACCGAAGAGCAGTGTACGAGTTGACGGCTGATTCAACATTCCCAATCTAAATAGGTAATGTTCCTGCAATTCCAGTACGAATTATTCTGAATTGTAGCCAGTTTGCAGCAATGCATATTTGGTCATAAATATCCATGTGTAGAGAGCAATAAATGGGTATGGATAGTTTTTTATAACAAATATAATGGATTCAGATTGACATCGAGTCATGCAAATACCCTCAGTAAGCCCCAAAACGTTTCTGGGAATTTTTATGAGTTTTCAATAAAAAACGGTTGCTCAGTGAAGTATACTCTGGTAGACTGGATTACGATAAGAATTCAATATAAATAATTCAATTTCAATAAGAAAATTCGTGAAGTCATCATCATTACATAAAATTAATACTATAGTCAATTAATATAAATAATTCAATTTAAATAAGAAAATTCGTGAAGTCATCATCATTACATAAAATTAATACTATAGTCAATTAGTTAGTTAATTAATAAACAAATAAACAAATTATCATTAGCCTGGATAGGAACAGGAGTAAATCAGGGTCAAAAAAGCTTACCTTTCGGTCCTAGTAAATAAGTAAATGACTGTGTTAATTAGTGATTAAATAAGTAGCTTGTGAAGCATTTCAGTCCGGAAGAAGTACACTTCGAGGATGAAGGAATTGTTTTGTTTTGAGCGTCAAAAATGCGTAATAAATAAGTGATTGAGTAATGAATCAAATAAGCAAGTAAACAATCAAAAACATAAATAAACAAATAGACAAATGACTGGTGAAGCCCTTTACCACTCTGTTGTATTCATGGAACAGTAGTCCGCAAACAATCAAGGGTAATTTCTATGTTGCTATTGTTTTGTTTTGGGTGGAAGTGTGGGGTGATGGCAAGTGGCGCCCTAGCACGCAAATAATTTGTAGATCCAATTCTTCTTTGATGCTAAATGTGCCATTCCGGGCCAACTAGGCCTTCCACCTCCCGGAGCCGGTTACATGGTATCAGACTCGTTTGGGAGAGGCTGGTCGTCGTTAGTCATTGTATAGGCCACATCTGCATTCAAACATCATCATGATTCTGAAGAGATTGATCAACTTTAAAAACTGTATC